TAGACTGCAGCATGCCAGGCTGTTTCCTCTGTAGGAAGAACCTTATTTTTCAGTTTCTTGTATATTCTTCCTGAAATATTTTATATCTTGTTTTTACCTTTTTTCTTCCAGATTTAACATAGATGTGTAGCATCTTTCCATTATACAGTAATGTTTAAAATTCTGTTGATTATTTTAATGTTTTGCATTTGTGCCATTGGGAATTTGGAAGATCTAATTGCCACATTGTAAACTAATCATTTGCAACAAAGCTGTTAGGAATTTCAGTCCTTTATTTTGTTGCTGTTATTTTTTTTCCACTTAGTCTATTTTTTAAAAAGAGCCAGTAAACCCCAAAGGGCAAGTCAGTACCCACTTAAAAACTTAGGAAAACTGCACAGGAAGTTTCCCGAGTGGACTTTGACTATAAGTGGTTGTTGCCTGGGTACTTCTCAGTGTCTGAGGGAGAAAATGCAGGGAACATTCCAGGGACAGATAGGGAAAGGGGAGCATGCACAGGATGAAGGAGACGTGAGGCCCACAAGCTCTAGCTCTTAAACACAGACCCTGGTCCTGGACTGGACTGGGCGAGTCTTCCCCACCCCAGAATCAAACCGGGGTCTGCTGCGTTGCAGGCAGATTTCTTGACCAACTGAGTTATCAGGGAAGCCCGTAGCTTTTAGCTGGGCTTGGATAAATAGGAGCCGTGACCTGGAGTAGTCACATCCCTTAGCTGGATTCCACAAAGAGCTCTGCTTTCCAGGATTTTGGAAGACTGAAGGAAAGAAAAAATTTGACAAGTTTTCTCAGGAGAATGCATCGAGTTGGAACTTTAGGTGGCCTGTCATTTTTCTTGCCTTTTATTTTTATTTCCTGATACTGACCATGACATGATGTAAACTTGGGCACACTTGGTTTCTATTTGTTCCTGTTGCTTTTTATCTTAGCATTTATTTCACAGCCCCCTTTTCAGTAAAACTTTTTGTGTGCCACTTCATTACTATATTTTCCCCCTCGAGATGCCCCATTGATGTAAAACAGTACCTTTTAAAAAAGGTACATATACAGTAGTGTTACATAAAAATAAAAATTTCCTACTACATTGGTTTGCTTACTTACTGATACTGTCTTTTTAAAAAATCTATTCCCACTTTTTTTTTAGTTTTTTGTATGTTTATTAAATTACACAAATCCAATAAAATGCCAATTAAAACTTGAGAACCTAAATTTTCTTTAGTCTCTGTAAAATGTTAAAAATATTGAACTCTTAGAATATAAGTTTTATTGTTTTTTTTACTGCAAAAACTAGGACTGGGTGATATAATATTGTCTACTTAGAAAGTTTCAGGAATAGAAATACATCATCTTTGTTAGATTGTCTTGATAGTATGTTAGCCTATAGATGCTTTTCAGCATTTTGATTCAAATAGTGTTTTAAAAAATGGAATCTCAAATGATGTGTGAGCCTTTGGTCAGATGTTGTAATATGTATTGGATTATGTGGAGAAGCTAAAATCACAAAGATTATAGATTGATGACAGATACTTTTAATAGTGGGTTTTGCTATTCTTAAGTGAGTTTTATTATACCATTTCCGAGTGAAACCTTCCTTTGCAATTATAATGGTGGTGATTATAATGATTTTAGATGAAGGTGGTTCATCAAAATGTACAGTGTAAAATTTATCTTTCTAGGACCATATGATGTGTAAAAGGAGGACAGATTGAATTTAACTGGCATAGTAAATAATATTAATTTTTAAATATGTCTTACCTAAATGGCATTTATCATAACTACGGAGTATACATTTCACTTATCTTTCAATACATTAATATAGTTTTCTTAAAGTAAAAATGAATGTTGACTTTGTATTTCATATAGTCTTAGAATGATTTCTTTGTCAAGAATATCAATACATTTCTGGTTACTGGATGCTTGACTTGTTTTTTTAAAATCTAATTTTGAGATGAGGTGTAGTTTGCTGTTTAAATATATATTTTTAAATATTTTAAAAACTCTGTAACTGATTCCTTTAATTACACAGTAGGGAACCTCTTTGGGCTTGTTTCCTCATCTATAAAATGAAGACTGAGCCTCTAAAGCAGTCAGCCTGGTATTCTTAAGCCCTGCATGATATAGTTCCTTGTTCCACTGGCTGCAGCCTGCGGTGTCTAGAGAGCTGTTGGCTAATGTGGATTCTGTCAGAAGTTAAATGTTCATGGAAAGTCTTAGACCTGTCACAACATTTTGCAGTTTCAGTTTCCTTTCCTGCCAAATTAGGGTAGTAATATCTAAATCAGGATTTTTAAAAATTTTAAATGGCATATATATATAAGCAATTTATATATTGTAATATATATGCAGTTTATATATTACACAATATGTATAATTTATTATAATATATATTTATGTATGTTAATAAGGTATTGAGGCTAATACTTGTTACTGTAGCTGTTAGGCTGTTGCATTATTTCCTTCTGCTGATTACCGGAATTTAGTCTTTAAGGCCCGTGGAATAAATTTTAATGTGTACAGTAGGGTGCTAACTCATAGTGTCTTGAAACTTTGAGGACTGCTAGTTTGTACTGCACCCTCATCATCTCCCCAGATTGCCAGCTGCTTTTCTGCCTCCTGTCTTTAGCCATCTCCAGTGACTAAACCAGTTTCATCTCCGCTAATCTTTTCACTGCAGACTTTCCTCCAACCCTACTCTGTTCTACTTTTCAGAAACTTAGAAATTATCTGAGCTTGCTAGTGCCTTCCTCCTCCTTTCACAGTGATCTCTATCTGTGATGTTATTGAAGCGTTATTTCCCCCAAGCCTAGGTAACACACACACACAGATGCCATGCACGCATGCACGCACCCCAGCATCAAGTCACCACAAGCAGTGGTCGCCTGTAGAAATGGCTCTTTACAGTCGTATCACTTCTCCCTTTCAGATTTTTGTACCCCTTTTTTTCCTTTCTGTCTAGTTGTGATGGCTAGCATTCCTAGAGCAAAATTAAATAACTTGGTATAACGTACATGCATGCTGTGTGCTCTGTGCTTGGTTATTCAGTCGTGTCGGACTCTCTGCGACCACGTGGACTGTAGCCCGCCAGACTCCTCTGTCCACAGGATTCTCCAGGCAGGAATATTGGAGTGGGTTGCCATGCCCTTCCCCAGGGAATCTTCCCAACCCAGGCTTAAACCCAGGTCTCCCTCAGTGCTAGAGAACTGTTTACCAGCTGAGCCACCAGAAAGCCCAAGAGTACTGGAGTGGGTAGCCTGCCCCTTCTCCAGCGGATCTTACTGACCCAGGAATGGAACCAGGGTCTCCTGCATTGAAGGTGGATTCTTTACTGATGAGGTGCCTGGGAAAACCAATGTAAACTAATGTCTTGTGTTGCGTCACTTCAGTCATGTCTGACTCTCTGTGACCCCGTGGATTGTAGCCTGCCAGGCTCTTCTGTCCATGGGATTCTCCAGACAGGAATACTAGAGTGGGTTGCCATGCCCTTCTCCAGGGCACCTTCCTGACCTAGGGATGGATCCCACCTCTCTTGTGTCTCCTGCATTGACAGGCGGGTTCTTTACCACTAGCACCAACCCCACACTTATACCATATTCCTAATTATTTTTTATTTTACCAAAATAAAACGTTAATGACTTATATTAGATAAAGAAAATATTTGTAATATTTGCATAAAATGTATAGAATCATATTTATTGAATATATGATTATATCACTGGTTGCAAGAAGCACCTACATTTTATAGACTAATTAGGAAAAACAGGTTAACAGGACTAGATCAGTTGTAAGATGCATTTTTACTCCATGAATACTATAATATAAAGAAAAATGTAACTTCAGATCAATGAGATGTGACATGTACAGCAGATACTGTTTTTAGTCTTACTAAATTCTTTGTTAAAATTTTTATGTACTCTAGTTCCCATGTTAGAAACTTTGTTTTCTTATTTTTGTAGTTTCTGTGAGCTGTACCTTTCTGTTTCATTGCAGATACTGTGCAGCCTTTTCTTGGTCTAGTTCTTTCCAGATGTTTTACATTGCCATATGTAAAATAGGTAGCCTGTGGGAATTTGCGGCATGACTGCAGGGAGCTGAAACTGGGGCTCTGTGACAGCCTGGAGGGCTGGGACGGGGCGGGAGTCGGGAGGGAGGCTCAAAAGGGAGGGGATGTATGTATACCTGTGGCTGACTCATGTTGATGTATGGCAGAAACCAACACAATATTGTAAAGCAACTGTCCTCCAATTAAAAATAAATAAATTTAAAAATACATTGCAAAATAAGAAAGAAAATAATCACTTCAACCAGTTTAATTATCTTATGCCTCCTTAGCAGTGGCTCTTGCTCTTAGGATTGATAGAATTTTTAGGGAGAGTCCTATGAGTTCATGAACTTGTATGTGAAACTTAGCCATTAGGCACTGTTTTTTTGGTAGGGAGAGGAGAATCCAAAGCTTTTAGCAGAATCTTCAAGAAACTAATAACCCTTAAAGAAGTTAGTAATCTTATAAGACATGAGTCCATTCTGTAGAGTTCCAGGACACCAGCATTTCTCTCTTGCTGCTCTCCATGTGGTCTTGATTGTAAATTATGAAAACTTCAGAGTATTTTGAAGCTCAAGACAAAGAAAATTTGACTGAGTTATTGGCTTTAACAATGGCAGTGTTGTTCAAGTGGTAACATGTAAAACAACAATCATACCATAAACTGCCAGGGAACCCACTTTAAGGAAGTATAAGTATAAAAAAGGTGGTATTGTAGTCATGGAAAAAGGCATTAGAAAACTGTGGCTCTACATATGTTAAAGAAATATGAAAGGTTAAAACTATGCTTCTGTTTTGAACTTGAGTAATTTCATGATTATGATTTAAATTATTTTTCTAAAGAAAAGACTATATGTTGGAAATGATAATATCTGGTGTTTGTATATATGTGTATGTATGTGTATAAGAATTACTTTTTATTGTTTATATGAGTAATGAAAATATTTGATTTTTTTAATTACAGTGCATGCAAGATATGGGAAATACTAAAGCAAGACTACTATATGAAGCCAATCTTCCAGAGAACTTTCGAAGACCACAGACAGATCAGTATCCTTTAACATTTCTTTATTTTGGGTTTTAAAAGAATCAGTTCATTTTTTTTTCCATTATAGTTTATATTTTAACTTTGTATTTAGGAACATGTGAATTTTATCATACTGTTGTTCATGAAAATAGAGATTGATTTGCCCTGACCGGTGCTTTATATGTGGTGAGTTTTTAATGCTGTTGCTGTGAGGTGCTCAGTCGTGTCCAACCTCGTGTGGCCCCATGGACTGTATCCCGCCAGGCTCATCTGTCCGTGGCAGTCTCCAGGCAAGAGTACTGGAGCGGGTTGCCACTTCCTCCTCCAGGAGATCTTCTGACTCAGGGGTTCAACCCCTGTCTCTTATGTCTCCTGCATTGGCAGGTGGATTCTTTACCACTGTGCCTCCTGGTTTTTAATAGGAATCTGGTAATATATGATTTACATAGTGTTCTTATATAATTATTATTAAGTATAAAATATATCCAATTCTTGATTGATCTGCAACTCTTGATTGGAACATATAGGTTAGCACTTTCGACTGGTATTAGAGATTTGATTTATGAACATCTTGAGTACTTTTGTTTAAGCAAATCATTTCCAGAGGGGTTTCCTGAGATCACCTTCATGTGAAGCAGTGGACGAGACGAGTCCCATGCTGAGTAGAAGCGGATGGTGATGGGGGATGTGGGCTCGGGTCCCTGACGACCTTCTCTGGGTCACAGGCTGCATGCACAGCTCTGCATCCACAGCTTCCCTCACAGACGAGTGGGGTATTTCCTTACGGCATTTTAGTCAGAATACTTTCACATATTAAAGAGAAATCATTTGATTTTATAGGACTTCTCAGACTCATACTGAAGTCTGAGAAAGAGCTCATCAGAATAAGACTATCTAATAAGACTATCTGCCTGCAATGCAGAAGACCTGGGTTCTATCCCTGGGTCTGGAAGATCTCCTGGAGAAGGGAATGGCTACCCACTCCAGTATCCTTGCCTGGAGAGTTCCATGAACGAGTTCCATAAACAGAGGAGCCTGGTGGGCTACAGTCCGTGAGATCTCAGAGTCAGACACAACTGAGCACACACATAATTTTATCCAAAGATGATTTTTATGATTTTGGCAATATGATGTTGTTTCTTAAAGATCAGCTGTGTGCTCCCCATGTGTCTGTATGTTTGTTTGATCATACAGTGAAAAAAGCGCATCTTTTCTCACAGAGATACAGGCCATATATATTTTCATTATGTGTGTAGAAATCTTTTGAGGTATATTCCAGAAGTTAGCGTTTGGCCTTTTCTCTTTCTGCTTCTCCCATCTCCTTCCCACACATTTAGCAGTCTGATATCCCAGGCTATTTTTGTTATAACAAGATCCTAGGGTAAGAGTGGTTAGTACATTTCAGGTATAAAAATTGTGTGAGCAGAAGTATGAAGGTGTGAGGACACTTGACATTTTAAAGTTTCGGTGTGATAACATCTTAAGTTTTATGGGGCAAGTGGCAAAAGCAGCTCATTATGATTCCAGATTGTGAAAGGTTTTCAATGACATCTAGAACCGCCTATAGATAGAATATAGAGCAGTGCCTCATTTCATTGACCCCGAGGATTGAAGGATTTGTAAAGCTGTGAGGCGGGAGAAGCATTAGAACCGTCACCTTCTATCAGGAGGAAGAGGAGTTGGAGGAGGTTGTGGGGTCAGAGGTCATGCAAAATCCTAGTGCAGCCCTGAAATGAGCAGTGATGAAGATAACCAGTTATGTAGTAGGTTCAGAGTAGGCAAGAGGGAGCTGGGGAGACTGGAAAGGCATTGGGAAGGCAGGGACGTTTGGAGTAGGTTAACATTGGCTTGCTTTCCTCAGAAAGCAAATATTTTCTAGCTTGGCTAAGGTTCTGTGAGTGAGGTAGACTTACTCATCGGGGGAAGGAATTCGGCACCAGATGAAGGTTTCAAGGTTACATGTGGAAGACGGTGAGTCACTGCTTTGGGCAGGATGACGTGTCTGTGGACACACATGTGGAGATGCCCGTCTGGAAGCTGGAGACGGGAGTCTGGACCCTGAAAGAGCAGAGCATGCATGCAGTGTGGACTGGAGAGCCCCTTAGCGTGTAGGTGATGGAAGAGTGCTTGGGTCAGTTATGTTACCTGGCACAGTGCCTCTGTTCCTTCTGAGGATTTTACTGAGAATCCTGGAAATCCTGGAAATGCCTTTTCCTTCTCCTCTGGAAGTGAGGGCATGGGACTGAACCCTGAGGAAGAGAGCATGGTGGCAGGAGAGTCCCACAGAGCAGACAATCTGTGTTCCATGGGGTGGTTACCACTGCTTGCTAGTTGTATTAATTTATTCCTTTTTCGGCTCTTCACCCCCAAGTCTGAGTTACATATAAAATCCCTCAAACTGAAGAAACTCCCTTTTCTGGATGGAAGTTTTAGTGTGTGTGTGTGTTGGGGGTGGGTAGGGGAGATTGGCTTGGTTTAAATTTGGTTTTTTGGACTTCTCTTGAATACCAGGTGATAAATTACTTGACAGTCTTGAAATTTGGAGTAGTACCCTTTATGTGGTATTAGGTGGATGAATGTAGCGTCAAGGTATCTCATTGATCGCCATACCTTTGTGTTGTTTTTGAAAAGGCCTGAAGGTGTTCAGGCGCAGACAGGACTCTGGCACCCTGTTACACTGCTCCCTTCTGGGCACCTGTGGTACATGTTGGTCGGAATACTATTTCTTAAGTAATTACCATCCATTTTATGGTGAACCTAATAGAAGTAAAGAATTAACGGGATGGTGTTTCCCTGGTGGCTTACTCAGTAAAGAATCTACCTGCTGTGCATGGAGACCGCCTGCAATGCAGCACACCTGCGTTTGATCCCTGGTTCGAGAAGATCCCTGGAGAAGGAAATGGCAACCCTCTCCAGTTTTCTTGCCTGGGGAATCCCACAGACAGGAGCCTGGCAGGCTCTAGTCCCCGGGGTCTCAAGGGTCGGACACGACTTAGTGACTAAACTACCACCACAGTGAGATGGTGATTTTTTTTCTGGAATTTTTTGTTGATTTGTCCTTAGATATTTGATCCTTATCTAAACATTTCAGGAGAGATTTTTATCGTGGATTGATCGGTATCTAATATTAGTAAGTCCTTGATCTTCGACACAGTGAAGGTACAGTGTTGGTAACAACTGCGGTAGCTTTCCTGCTCAGTGAGGGTTTGCTGTGAGCCAAGCCCTGAGTTTGGCACTTTATATACGTTATCTTTTTTAATTTTGGAAACAACTCAGAACATAATATGTTTATTCTTGGTAGGTGAGCGGGTGGGATGCTCAAAGAGGCTGTTTAAGAAACTTTCCAAAGCCTCCAGACTTTCCCTCCTGTGTAAGGACACTTGAATATTACTTAATGATGCTGGTCTGAGTAAAACCAGTGTTGTCACACTTGAGCCGGCTTTTAAAAATAGGCTTATAGTTTGGGATTCTTTGCAACTAAGATCATAAAGCCTAGGTGGAAGTTGCAACAGTTGAGTACCTGGTATGATTCAGGTCAGGCTCTTGGATTATGTGTTTCTTTGCTACTGTTAGTTCAAGCTTGTGTATTTGATTTTTCAAGCTAAATGTTACTTGTAAAACATTTGGAGATTATGGTCATATTCATATGAGGTGCTTACCTTTTGCTGGTTCAGTTCAGTTCAGTCACTCAGTCATGTCCGACTCTTTGTGATCCCATAGAAGGCAACACTCCAGGCCTCCCTGTGCACACCAACTCCCAGAGTCTACTCAAACTCATATCCATTGAGTCGGTGATGCCATCCAACCACCTCATCTCTGTCATCCCCTTCTCCCCCCACCTTCAATCTTTCCCAGCATCAGGGCCTTTTCAAATGAGTCAGTTCTTTGCATCAGGTGGCCAAAGTATTGGAGTTTCAGCTCCAGCATCAGTCCTTCCAATGAATATTCAGGGTTGATTTCCTTTAGGATGGACTGGTTGGATCTCCTTTCAGTCCAAGGGACTCTCAAGAGTCTTCTGCAGCACCACAGTTCAAAAGCATCAATTCTTCAGCACTCATCTTTCTTTATGGTCCAACTCTCACATCCATACATGACTACTGGAAGAACCATAGCCTTGACTAGATGGACCTTTGTTGTTGGCAAGATCTTGCTGTTTACAAAAAGATAATCTTAAGGTTGTCAGAAGCATAAAGAGGGATTTTGTCTAGACAAACTTGAGATAGATGACTCCTAATGATAACATCATAAGATGACATCTCTTGGATCATGAGACCAGCTTTTGTATCTAATGTAATACTGTAGTCTTAAAAAAAATTTTTTTTTCTATACTTATTACAGCTACATAATGCTTTTATCCCTTCTTTTAAGTATGAAACACTGTGATTTGGAGCTTGAAATATGGAAACTAGTTAAAGAAAACAAGGCCCCTTTTCTGTATTTCATGGATCATTCTAAAGCTCAATGCTGTTTGAAAAGCCTAACATTTTTGCACTTTTACTGATTTAAATATAGTTGTCTCAAGGAATTAATCTCAAAAATAGGCAAGCAGCTCCTGCAGCTCAATTCCAGAAAAATAAACAACCCAATCAAAAAATGGGCCAAAGAACTAAATAGACATTTCTCCAAAGAAGACATACAGATAGATGGCTAACAAACACATGAAAAGATGCTCAATGTCACTCATTATCAGAGAAATGCAATCAAAACCACAATGAGGTACCATCTCATGCTGGTCAGAATGACTGCTATCCAAAAATCTACAAACAATAAATGCTGGAGAGGGTGTGGAGAAAAGGGAACCCTCTTACACTCTTGGTGGGAATGCAAACTAGTACAGCCACTATGGAGAACAGTGTGGAGATTCCTTAAAAAACTGGAAATAGAACTGCCATGTGACCCAGCAATCCCACTGCTGGGCATACACACAGAGGAAACCAGAATTAAAAGAGACACGTGTACCTCAATGTTCATCGCAGCACTGTTTATAATAGCCAGGCCATGGAAGCAACCTAGATGTCCATCA